TCAATGGCAGACACATAGACCAGTGGAACAGAATTGAGAATCCAGAAGTAAATCCATCCACCTATGGGCAGCTGATCATCAGCAAAGTGCCTAATTCTATTCAATGGGGGAAGAAACAGTCTCTTTAACAAATGGTGCTGGCAAAACTGGATATCCATTTGCAGAATAATGAATCAGGGCCTATACATCACACCATGCACAAAAAAATAACTCAAAATGGAACAAGGACCTAAATGTGAAAGCTAAAACTATAAAGTTCCTGGATGATAACATAAGGTCAAAACTAGGGAACTTAATTTTTGTCATAAATAGCCAAACAAACAAAACTAAATATGCACAAATTATGGACGATAAGTTAGAAAACTGGGACCTTCTAAAAATTAATACTTCTGCTGATCAAAACACTTTTCCAAGAGTAAAAAAAAAAAAACCTGCAGAGTGGGAAAAAATCTTTCACAAAGATATGTCTGATAAGGGTCTAATCTCTAAAATACATAGAAAACTTCAATACCTCAACAACAAAAGACATACAATCCAATCAAAAAATGGGTAAAGGATTTGAACAGATACTTCATCAAAGAAGACATTTAGGTGGCCAATAAATACATGAAAAAATGCTCATGATCATTAGCTATTAGAGAGATGTAGATCAAAATCACAATGAGATACCATCTTACCCCTACAAAAATGACAATTAAAAAAAAAAAAACAGAAAACAGCAAATGCTGATAAGATTATGGGGGGATTGGAACTCTTATACACTTTTGTTGGATTGAAAAATGGTACAACCAGTATGGAAAATAGTATGGTGCTTCTCAAAAAGCTGGAAACAGAAATTCCTTCTAATCCATCATCCCCACTCCTAGGCATTTGTCTTAAAGATATAGGAGGAGTGACACAAAAAGACACACGCACACCTTGTTCATTGCAGCATCATGCACAATAGCAAAAAGATGAAAACAACCTAAGTGCTTATTAAGAGAAAAATGACTAAACAATGGCATACTACACAACTATAAAGAATAATAATGAGTATATGAAACGTAACACAGATGAATCTGGAGGATATTATGTTGAGTGAAATAAGTCAATCACAAAAAGATAAAAACAGTGTATATTCCTATTATTAGAAAAAGTCAAGAATAGATGTAAACACAGAAAGCAGAGTTCTTTGACGGCTACCAGGGATGGGAGGAGCAACCACTTTACACATAGTAAATACTTGTTACTTTGGGTGATGGGAAAGGCAAGACCAAATATGGGTGAGGTCAGCACAACCTGACCAAGGTAAACAAAGACACTAAGAAGTTCACGAGAAAAAGGGACAATTTCAGTAAATGTTATAACATACACAACTTTTCAACAATAGTAAAAACAACCAAAATATGTGTGTGTGTGGTTACATAGGCAGATACAGATACATATATGGGTACAGAAAAGCACATGCAAGTAAATGCATGTGCATGTATAGGAGTGTTTGTAAACAACAACAAAAAAAAGCTCACTGCCATGAAGTCGATCCTGGTATTGATCTGACTCAGAGTGACCCCTCCTTGGGTTTCTGAGGTGGTATCTCTACAGAAGTACATTGCCCAACCTTCCTTCTGAGGAGCGGCTGGTGGGTTTGAACCGCCAGCCTTCTGGTTAGCAGTCAAGTGCCTTATCCACTTGCCACCACAAAAATGCATATACATGTGCCTACAGACACTCTTCCTAAGGCATGGGGGAACAGTTATTGAGGCTTCCCAGACATATCCAAACAACTGTGGGACTGGTTTGCAGGGTTTAAAGACTTAGGATAAGGACCATAGTCTAGGAGGACAACTTAGACAATTGGCATAACATAGTTCACAGAGATAAAGTTCTATATCCTAGTTTGGTGAGTAGCATCCAGGGTCTTACAAGCTGTAGAGTGGCCATCTCAGATACAATTACTGCCTTCTATTGATATGGAGCAAAAGAGTATAAAGGAAATCAAAGGCTCAAAGAAGAAACTGGTTCCTGGGACTAATAGCCCACATGAACTACAGCCTTTTCTAACCTGAGACCAGAAGAACTAGATAGTGCCTGGCAACCAGGGCACAACAGAAGATCGCAGGTGGAATGGGAGAAAAATGCAAAACAAACTCAAATTCCTAAATATGGCCAAGACTATTGTGGTGGTTAAGTTTGTGTGTCAACTTGGCTAGGCCTGGTTGAGTGGCAGGGCAGCTTGGATGTAGTATTCTCCATGATGAGACTGGTAATCAACTCCATGGTGGAATCTACTGGGAGCAGCTGAGGAGCTGCTTTTGGGTATGTGACCTTCTTCCCATATATAAGAAACAGCTTTGGGAATGGTCTCTAGCTTATGGCACACTTGAACCCTGCATGTAGCCATGTCGTTCAGCAGCCTGCCATGCTCTGCTGACCTTGGTTGGGACTTTCAATGGACTTAAATTAATGGCCTGCCATGTGGTTTGGTAACACCGGGACTGTACCTTTTTACTTGTCAACCTTATGTTTGTCAGTCTCAGCAGCCAGAAGTTGTCTGAGTGAAGAAAAGCCTCTAGCTCCAGTAGGGCGGAGCAGGAGCAGGAGGCAGAGCTGAACCCCAAGGTTGAGGGGCTTTCACCCAGCCCCTAGAGCCTGGCACTTTGAACTTGGACTTAAAGCCTCCAAATTGTAAGAATAAACTTCTGTATGTTCAAGCCATCCTATTTGCGGTATATTCTTGTCAGAGTGGCCCTAGGCAACCAGAACAGAAAATGGTACTGAGAGTGGGGTGCTGCTCTGACAGATACCTAAAATGTGGAAACAGGAGTGGAGTGTATCCTTGACCCGAGACCCTGGCAGAGATAGGCCAGCATGCAGCATGAGAAACTGCAGCAGCAGAGCCAAGAGACTGGCAGAGAGATACCAGCAGAGAGACCAGAATGAGAGATGTCAGTAGCAGAGCCCAGCGACCAGCATTAAATAGCAACAGGCTTACCAGCCCAAGGAGGAGAAAGCCGGGTGCCATTGCGTAGGGGTCTTCCTGGCAGAGTGGGTTGCCTTCAAGCATTAATTGGTAGAAGAGACTGGTATGAGATGGAGTAGCAGGTTGGCCAATCCATGGAGCAAGAAAGCTGAGGGGCAGGAAGATTGCTGGTGGAGTGGGTTGCCCTCAGGCACTAATTGGCAGAAGCAGAGAGACCAAGGAAACAGGAAGCAGAGCTGCCTCAGTCTCAAGGGTAGGACCATGGCCTTTGGGGGTAGAACAACCAGAGCCCCCTAGGTTTCAAAGACCCAGACCTTCACCAACTTGGTTCTGGAGTGTGGGGCTGCTCATTCACGTGAGCTAGTGGGATGGAGACTAGTCACTGCCCAAGAGTGAGGGGCAGGGCTTCCATGCCCAAGAGGGAGAGGAAAGCTGCCTGCCAGGCCAAGGGGGTAAGGTCACCACTCAGGAACTAGGGTACCAGAGTCACCCATTGAAGATCTGTGCAGGTGCCAAGTTGACAAGGGGTGGAATTGTGGTGGTTAAGTTTGTGTGTCAACTTGCCTGGGCCTGGCTGAGTAGCTGGGCAGCTGGATGCAGTATTCCCCATGATGAGACTGGTAATCAACTCCATAGTGGAATCTACTGGGAGCAGCTGAGGAGCTGCTTTTGGGTATGTGGTCTGCTTCCTGTATATAAGAAACAGTTTTGGGAATGGTCTCTAGCTTATGGCACGCTTGAACCCTGCACGTAGCCGTGTCATTGTTCAGCAGCCTGCCATGTTCTGCCAACCTTGGGACTTCCAATGGACTTGAATTAATGGCCTGCTGTGTGGTTTGGTAACATCAGGACTGTGCCTTTTTACTTGTCAACCTTGTGTTTGTCAGTCTCAGCAGCCAGCAGCTGTCTGAGTGTAGAAAAGCCTCTAGCTCCAGTAGGGCAGGAGCAGGAGCAGGAGGCAGAGCTGAACCCCAAGGTTGAGGG